GTATTGGTAGTTATGGTTGACGTGGGGCACGAGGTTCTGGCTGACGATCGGGTTCACGGATCCATAGGTGGACGGGTAGTTCGACACGAACTGTGCCGACGCTACGGAGATGAGGGCGAGGATTACGACTGAGAACTGGATGTGTTTGGGAGTAAAATGAAAAGTTTTTTAAGTAAATTAATTAGAAATTAAATTAGTATAGCTAGCACAATTTGTTAATTAATTTAAGGTATAATTGTTTTATAAGTTTTTTATATAAAAATAAATTAGTTTTCAAATACATATGAATATAATTACCATTATATAGCGGTTGCGGGGAAAAAGTTTTGACACTTTTTTGTGAGGCTAAAGGGAATGGAATGTGAGGTGTAGTGGTGAGTGGATCGGTAGGAAACGGGTGTCCGCTTTATATACATATGGGTTGTCGCCGAAAACCTTGAGACGACTGGCCTTCAGGGGTGCCGATTGCCAGCGAACGTGTTGTGTCTACCCATCACTCGCACCGGTATTATATGTTTGATGAACCGTAGCCACGAATGGACAGACAGTATACGAATGCTTCATTAGACACTCACACATATAAAAAACCTGTACTCACTCTCACCCTCTAATACCTGTCCATTAAATTAATATCTTTTTTCTATTTTAGACTACATTTGTATTTGTCGTGAAACGTGAGCCGAGTATTGATTACGAGTTTAGCGTTTCAATGAGAGGTACGAAAACGTAATACATCTCTCACTTCACTCATAGATCATTAGTGATTATATGCGAGGGTCGGGAGGGATAGGGAGACAATCAAATGAATATAACATAGTATTCACTCAATACTCATCACATCCCTTCCCCGATACACACCTGAGCCCTAATGTCTGTCTTAAACACTGAAATGAAATAAAGTGTAAAAAAGTTTTCCATTAATCAGTGATCACTATCTGATGGCATATATTACCGGTGAGAGTGAGTGAGAGAGAGAGAGAGAGAGAGCACAGGTAGGGTTTTCATTGGAGAGTACAACCCCTTGACAACAGTTAATGAAAATATAAATTGTTTTTTGTCTCTGATTTACACAAAAAAAACATTTAAATATTATATAATTTATGATAAGTTCATTAAAAACTAATTGCAAAGTTTTTACATATAATTTCTAATTACAAAATAGATTAAAACAAAAAACTTTAAAACTATTGAATGGCCATCAAAAGTGCACTAAATTTGTCCCATAAAAATTACTTCATTTACAGAAATAGAAAAAATTAATTACATTTGATTGTGATTTAAATCACGGATTGGTTCCCAAAAAATTAATGTATGAAAATAAACTAAAAGATAAGAAAAATGTAAAATTAAAGGCATTTCTAATCGTAACGTTCAGTGAACATAGTTTTAATATTAGGTTTAATTCATTCATACAGTGATTGTATGAATGCATAAAAGTTAAAAAGTTTTTGCAAATAATTTTTGACAGATTGTGTGTCAGTTGGAGAGAGAGAGAGAGAGAGAGAGAGAGAGAGAGAGAGAGAGCAGTCGTTACAGAAAATTCAATGTCAAGGTCTTATTGCCTGATAAATATCTGTATTATATTTACTGTAGAAATGGTTTTATTTTTATAGCTCTGGAAACGTTAGAAACTAATTATAAAACAAAAAATTATTATTCAACGCAACCACTTATGGAAAATTAAAATTAAATACAAAAACTCAATAATAAAATCATTGATTACTGTAAGTATATTTTTTGTAAATTAATACATTGTATACTATTTATTATAATTCAGTTTCAAACGTCTATAAAAAGGCATTAAAATAATAAAATCTAATTTTTAAGACCCATAGAAACAGGATTTGATTTTTATGATCGATTATTCAGTTTTTCAAATGTTTAACAAAATAATGAAATAAGTTTTCAAATACACTTAAAAGTAGATTTGAAATGAAAGAATATTTATTAAGAAAAACAATTTTTACAAACAAAAAAATAACTTACAATTATTTCTTATAAATTTTTATATCATTTATGTATCAAATTATTTAAAACTTTAAATGTTATTAATAATAATTAACTTATTAATGAAAATTATGACTAAAATGTATTCGCAATAAAATATTTGATAAAAGTTTGCCTCAAAACTTAAACTCAATAATAAAGTTATCATTAGATTATGGATTAGATAAACACAAAACGGATAATACTATTAAAGTTATATGAAATCAAACGTCAATTAAATTGAATTAAACTAAAAACACAAAATACAATCAAAACACTGTTAGACTAGAAAACTATTTGATTCAAAACATACAGTATTTGAGAACAGATTTTGTTATACAAAACAAAAGTAATAATAATTAAAACTCAAAATTAATTATAAAATTATGTGTGAAATGTTTTTAAAACGTTTCGACTATTAAGTGACTAATAAATGAAAATGTTTTGCAAATAAATATCATAAAAAACAGACAAACACTTGAAAATCAATGACTATTCAAATGAGTGAAACGAATGGAGAACTCAATGAGTGATACAAAACATGTCATCAAACGAAAGCACACTTTAATTGCCAGTGTTTTGGAAGATCTTCTGATACTCTTCCAAATGCTGCACAAAAAACACACAAAAATACAACACATTAGACATAAAAACACCCAAAAAACTACTGTATCCTAACACTGACCGGTATTTTAATCTTATTCTTGTAGTACACGGAAGGCTTGAAGTCCTTATCGGTGTCCGAGTCGTCGGAACTGACGCTAAACTCGCAGAAGTTATACTCATTCTTCGGACACAATTAAAACAAACATTAAAAACAACGGTTTAAAACACAAATTCAATACAAAACTAAGCCTTACCTCAGATATGGACACATCCGAGCTATACATCGCCGGCTCCTGACTATCCTTATTGGCGCCGGTATTGCTCTCTTGACTCATATTATCATCGGTTAACTGAAAAAAACAAAACACAAACAAAAAACTTACAAAACATTACACAAAACCAAAACCACAGCACAAACCACAGCGTCGAGCATACTATGGACGACACCATCGACCACCACCTCATCCGCCGACACATTAGTACTCATCGCCAGCGTATTGTTCGCCGACTTCTTAGCCTTCGGAGTGGACGTACGTCTCCTCTTATCCTCGGCCTCGCGGCGCGACTTTGGCGTTGGTTTGCGATACACCCGACTATCCGTACTAACAGTGCGAGCCCTACCACCACCACCACAGGCGCTCCGACTCTGACTACTGGCGCTCACTGTACGAGCCCTACCACCGCTGCTGCCAGCCCTCGGGGAACCGGTAGCCGCCGACGAGTGAGTATTCTTGAGCGCCCTATAGATCTTAATAGCTTTGCGCGAATCGCCAAAACTCTGCGGACGCGCCGGCCGTTTCTGGCGGGCCGGCAGTAGGTTCGGGTGCTTCTTGACGAGGTTCAGGTGCACCCGTTTCGCGGAATAGCACTTCACGTCGTGGGTCTCCAGGTATTCAT